CCCCCCCCCCCCCCGATTTTTTCTCTTCTAACAATTATGTGAATTTTGAATGAGTAATATATAATTTCTTCATAGTGTGCATCACATTTCAGTGTTCTTTTCCTAGTGTGAAGTCTGCATGTGCTGATAATGATGCAGGTTACTGTGGTGGGTTAACCCTGGCTGAGCAAGTGATGCCCATTAAGCCACTCTATCACCCTCCCCTTTTCTCTCCCTCCTCCACAGAGCAAAAAGGGAAAGGAAAATAATATGGAGACAAAACCCTTGTGGGTCAAAACAAGGGCAGTTTAATTAGAAAGCAAAGCCAAGGAATTCCATGTGCAGAAGCAAAGAGAAAAAGCCCAAAGATTTATTCTCTACTTCATGTCTGGCCTTTCCTGGGAAGCAGGGCTCCAAAACACGTAGGGGTTGCTCCAGAGGACCAATGATCAGTGCCCCCTCCCCCCTCCTCTGTACTAGCTCTATAGTATGGTATGGAATATCCCTTTGGTCAGTTTGGGCCAGCTGTTCTGGTTGTGTTCCCCCCAAGCTCCTGCTCCCCCCACATCCCATTGTGTGGGGAATGTTAGAAAGAGCCTTGGTGCTGTGCGAGCACTGCTCAGTGGTAGTCATAACATGGGTTTTATTAATACCCTTCTAACTCCCAACACAAAGGCACTGCACCAGGAGGGCTGCAATGGGAAAATCAGCTCAGCCATACCAAACACAAATTTGTTTATTCATAATTCTACAGATTTTTCATTTGAGTAAAATTAGTAGAAACAGTGAAAATGATGCAAACTTGGTTTGTGCAGTGTAGTTCCTAGCACCATTCTCACTGCAATAGCTCTTGTACTTATTTCATGTGGATATGTATATGTTTCCAGATAGATAAGCAGCCAATTTGGTAGCAGTTGTAATCTTTTACACACAGCAATTCTGAAAAAAAATGTTTACATACATTTTACATTGCTTTCTAATGTACTTTACCAACCGAATTAAAAAAAAAAAAAAAAAAAAAAAACAGCAAACCTTCATGTTGCAAGTGCTGTGGATCTCTTATGATTGTTGACCAGCGCCCTGATCTTCTGCCTGTCTTTCAGCATCCAAAAACTATGAAAGGGGGGTGAAGTGCTGGGGTCTAAACCCTAAGCCCTGAATCAAAGTTGACATATGGATGATACCCACAACCAGGCAGCAGATTCTCTAATACCAGGAGAAACCTTACTCTTAGTTTTTTTCTCAAGGCCTGGCCATCCTTGGGTGAAAAACAATTGGGAAGTTAACACCAGGTGTCCTGCCTCTAATGTTAATAGTGTAAAAGCTGGTTCTGCTTGCAGTGAGTAGGGGATTGCATTTATGTGGTGGGTGTGCGATGTAGAGTTTCTTGTTATTGAGAGGTCTCCCTGATTGTCCATGGTGATCAGAGTTCTTAGCAATGGTGGGACAGGATTGAGAATGACATGTGGGTGAGGGCTGGAGCAGCTCTCCTATGAGGACAGACTGAGAGAGTTGGGTCTGTTCAGTCTGGAGAAGAGAAGGCTCCGAGGTGACCTTATTGTGGCCTTCCAGTATCTTAGGGGGGCCTACAAGAAAGCTGGGGAGGGACTTTTTAGGATATCGAGTAACAACAGGACTAGGGGGAATGGGGCAAAGCTGGAAGTGGGCAGATTCAGGCTGGACGGGAGGAAGAAGTTCTTCCCCATGAGAGTGGTGAGACCCTGGAATGGGTTGCCCAGGGAGGTGGTTGAGGCCCCATCCCTGGGGGTCTTTAAGGCCAGGCTGGGTGAGGCTCTGGGCAGCCAGATCTAGTGTGAGGTGTCCCTGCTCATGGCAGAGGGGTTGGAACTGGGTGATCCGTGTGGTCCCTTCCAACCCTGACAGATTCTGATCTGTTTTAGCAGAGGACTTTAGAGCCCTAATAGCTCAATGGATGGACTTGATGATCTTGGCGGTCCCTTCTAACCTAAATGATTCTATGATGCTTTTGTTTGGTAATTACTGTATGATGTACTATATGATAATCTTCTATATGATTTGGATTGGACTGTTGACTTGTTTTATTCCTTCCCCCATTACTGGGTTCCTAGCTTGGTTTACTCCTTCATTTGTTACATCGTGTACCATGATTGAATATGTTGATCTGTTTTTTTTCTCCTATTGTTAATCATATCATGTCTTTCTTGTATTCATTCGAGTTGGACGGCAAAGTCTGGCCTGTTTCTTGCTGATGGCCTTATCCTTCATACTGGGCCATGTAGTCAGCAAAACAGGGGAAGACTTGGAAAATAAAATATCAGTGTCTAACATCTACTGACTTTCAGCCAGAATTGGATGGTAGATGACTTTCTATTTGTGATGAAAATCTTCCCCTTTGTAGGGGCAAGAAATCCTAACTCATAATACCTCTATATTGCAATTCCGGACCCCTTGGAAGCAATCACAGCACAGTTAATTGCAGTGAAACTTGCAGTATTTGATTAAAATAATTTATAACAGTTTTTGGGGCCTTATGTGATAATATTATATGACTGTATAGATAGATTAGCTTTCTTCAAAAATATGAAAACAAAAGAATGCTTGCCCACAGCTGTTTATTTAAAGTAGAGAATATAAAATGTTGGCCTTGTTATTGCAGTGGTAATGTTCCATGTGAAACTTATGCGATGTCTAAAAGACTATAAAAATCATAGCTCTTTAGTGTCAAGTTACTTGCATTTATTTCATAAAGAGTAGAAGCATGAAGAACAGAGTTTAATGCTTTAATTTTTATATTTCTTTTTCACAACATTAACTAGACTTTCAGTCACACCCCGAACCATCCCCAGTTCTGAGCCAGCTGACCCAGCAACAACAAATGCATGCCGTCTCTGTTCTTCCACCTGGGATGGAGTCCTTCTCCTCCCAGGTAAAACTCCAGAAACCATCACCAGTAGACAATGCTACAGCTGTTAGCAAAATGTTACAGCTCCCCATTATATCTATGGATGACCAGGCAGTTACCACTCATCAAACTCAACACAAACAGATAAAACCACTGAAACGGAGGATAACTCCAGCATCCAAGGTGGGTAACTGAATGGTGGCTTGTCCTTAGTAAATGTATAAACATACAAATGATTGTATTGGAAATAGTATAACCAGCAGGACTAAGGAAGTGATCATCCCTTTCTACTCAGCACTGGTGAGACTTCACCTTGAATACTATGTTCAGTTTTGGATCTCTCACTACAAAAAGGGTGTTGAGGTTCTGAAGTGTGTCCAAAGAAGGGCAACAAAGCTGGTGAGGAGTCTAGAGATCAAGTCTTATGAGGAGCAGCTGAGGGACCTGGGATTGTTTAGCATGGAGAAAAGAATTCTGAGGGGAGACCTTCTTGCTCTCTACAACTCCCTGAAAAGAGGTTGTGGCAAGGTAGGGGTTGGTCTCTTTTCCCAAGAAACGAAGGATAGGACAAGAAGAAATGGCCTCAAGTTGTGCTTGGGGAGATTGAGGTTGGATATTAGTAAAAATATTTTCACTGCAATGTTTGTCAAGCATTGGAACAGGCTGCCTGGGGAAATGCTTGAGTCTTCATCCCTGGAGGTATTTAAAAGATGTGTAGACATGGCACACAGGAGCATGGTTTAGCAGTGGAATTGGCAGCGTTAGGTTCATGGTTGGGCTCAATGACCTTAAGGGTCTTTTCCAACCTACGATTCTGTTCTATATATAAGTTGCTGGGAGAGAGTGAAGACCATGGCCTTATTTCTTGTTTATAAAGCAGGAAATTCTAAGCTGGATAGTTTACAGTGATGTTGTCTTTTCCAAGCACATATGTGGTGGGTTAATCCTGGATGAGTAAACGATACCCACCTCTATCACCCTCCCCCTTTGCCCTCCCTCCTCCACAGAGCAAAAGGGAGAAGGAAAATAATATGAAGACAAAACCCTTGTGGGTAAAAACAAGGGCAGTTTAATTAGAAAGCAAAGCCAAGGAATTCCATGTGCAGAAGCAAAGAGAAAAAGCCCAAAGATTTATTCTCTACTTCCCATTAGCAGGCAATGTCTGGCCCCTTCCTGGGAAGCAGGGCTCCAAAACACGTAGGGGTTGCTCCGGAGGACAAATGACCAGTGCCCCCTCCCCCCTCCTCTGTACTAGCTCTATAGTATGGTATGGAATATCCCTTTGGTCAGTTTGGGTCAGCTATTCTGGTTATGTTCTGGTTATGGTTGTGGGGGGTATGTTAGAAAGAGCCTTGGCGCTGTGTGAGCACTGCTCAGTGGTAGTCACAACATGGGTGTTATCAACACCCTTCTAACTCCCAACACAAAAGCACTGAGCCAGGAGAGCTGCTATGGGAAAAACAGCTCAGCCATACCAAACGTATCTGATTGCTCTGTGTGGAAAATGACTCTTGCTGCTTGTTTTTTTTTTTTTTTTATTGATTGACTTAGTACCCACAAGATGAATGTTGGCTGAAGGGGGATGGATGCAGATGACACTTTGATATTGTAGAACAGTATGGCTGTTCTGGCTTTCAGCTCCAGATCAGGGTACAGAATCAATTAATTAATTTCAGGTTACAAGAATGTGGTTAATTTACATGTTGTAAAGTGGGGAGTTGTTGCAGATCTAATTGGCAGCAAAGGCTGAGGCGCTAACTGAAGAAGTCTGTAGTTAAAGGAGGAGAAGGTGTCCGTTAATGATATCTTTAATACAAATAGTACATGCAAAGGAATTATGGCCTTTTTTTCCTCCTTTAAGATTCCTGCCTCTGCAGTCGAGATGCCTGGATCAGCAGATGTGACAGGGTTAAATGTTCAGTTTGGAGCTCTGGAGTTTGGATCAGAGCCTGCACTCCCAGAGTTTGGATCAGCTTCAAGCAGTGAGAATACCAGCCAGGCGGCAAACTATAGCTTGTACTCAGAATGTGTAAAGTATGTGTGAGTTCCCCTTGTGCATTCTTACATGTCTTTCTTTTTATGCTAAAACCATCAAGGTGCAGTTACAATGTAATGGGAGGGGGAAATGATCATGGTTCATGATGAAGGGTCATCATGACTTGTAAAGCTAAGTGTTTTCTGTGAATGGCATCTTAAAGGAGAAATTTATTTTCTAATGACAATCAAAATCTCCTTGCACGGGTCAATATGAAGCTGGAGATGACATGAATCTAAATAACTTTATGATAAACTACGCTTTATAGAATTGCTTTCTCATTTTTAATTGTCCTGATTTTCAAATTTATTTGAGGGTTTGTTCCTCACAACCCAATTTTTTCTGGTTTTATCCAGGAGAGATGACCCTTGTACCATATATGTGTGTCAGTAGATTGGCACCAGATTACAGATCTGATCTTCCTATGAGATGAGAAAAGAAGCTAGGTTTCCAATATGCAGAGGCTCTTACTGAAATGCTAAAATAGCCAATGAACCAGTAATCCATTTTTTTAATTCCTTACTCAAAAATTTACTTCGTTGAAAAGCTTCCTGAAGTTAATTCAGAAATACTAGTAAAAATGAACATTAATTTCTAGTTCTATAAATGATTTAAGCTGTTTAGAAAACAAAACACTCCTGCATGTTTTAAAGTATTTTTTCCTCTTTGCATAGTTCATTCTGTTAGCCTGCTACTGTAACATTAGAATTCTATGGTAAGAAGAGACTGGATGTTTCTCATCATATACCAGATTTTATGGATCTATTTGTTTAAAAAAAAAGATATTATGATAATTAATTTATCCTTTGAGAAGGTAGAAATAGCATGATTGAAAAATGCTGATGTGTAAATTCTTGTTTTGATTAGGCTGACAGGAGGAAGGTGAATAGTGCTTGGTGCAGCTGATGACTTTGAAGCAGTGATTACTGGGAGACCGAAGCAAAATTATGTGTTGTTTTGTTTTTTTATTTTTCCATTATTAGATTTTCTACTATAAATAATGTAGATTTGACTGCATGTTTAAGGTAGTTCTAGATAACTGTATAGGAGCTGATATTTTCATGAATGTGTTTAAGATGTCATTTATCAAAATGATAATTTTATTTTTTTTTTTTTAGTGTTCCTTTGAATACATCTTTGCCAATATCCAATACAGTACAGGAGTCCACCTACACAACATCTGCCATCACCTCTTCCAGTCTGACCTGCTCATTCCAGAGCACCAGCCCAGTAACAACAACTTCCTCCTATGACCAGATTTCTGTGCATAGTAGGATATCATACCAAAGCTCCGTTGCTCTGTCTGAATTGACACCTGTTGCAGTTACGGTGAGTAAATTTCAGAATTAAGACCTTGGAAAAGGTGAAATATTCTTATCCATGTTAGACTTGTATTAACCTATTATGTTAATAGTTTAACCAAACCAAGTGGTATTTTTGATTCTCAAGTTCCCTCTTTTTTTTTTTTTTTTCTTTTCCTATTGTATAGCCATTTTTGTGTTTGGGATGCAAGAGCCTCTGATTTTATGAGGTTTGACATCTTAAATTGCTTGACCATTTTTTCTTAGTTACACAACATTCTAGTTGAGTTTCCTTTGCTGAAGCTTAGCTTTTAAAAAAGGAACTGTCTCTGTGTGTAAATATTAGTCATAGCATTTTGCCATAACTTGACAGTTTCTGTCCAAAAGTATATTATTTATTAAATTTATATGGCACCTAGCAAATGGATCCAAATCTGTTTGTGGCCCCTCCAGCATTACTCTTTTGTTGGATTTAAACAGCAGTGGAATTAGTTTCATGTATTATTTTAAAAAGCATAGGGAGAGGTCTAATTTAGGATAAAGAGGATCTCTCTCAGGAGATATTCAAAATTACCTACTTTTTGTATATGAAATGTAGATTTGTTTTAAGATAATTTATTAGATGTTTAAGGAACTTGTGAGAGTTTGCAAGTTTATTTACTCTTCTGGCCTTTGTTATGTAATGGCTCGGTCACACGTCTTCTGCACTAGCTCATATGTACTGGTGAGGATCAAGTGTAGACTATCTACTTCTGTACTCCAGCATTATCCAAAAAAACAACTGGTGCTTCTCAAGTCTTTCAATGGAAAAAAAATTGGCATCTGTGTAACTTGGATACTTAAAATTGTGAGCTGCATTAGATCAAAAGCACAACCATTTCCTATATGTTAATACAGTTCTTTCTTTTTTGTCGGTGTGAACCTGAAGTTTGTTATATACAGTAGACGGGAAGGTCTCTAGCTAATGGGTGTAGTATGGGCAGTGTATATGGGATTCTGTATGTTCAGGACACCTTACACTCAAGAGAACTTTATGATGTGGTTTTGTTAAAGGTAGTAAAAAGTTGATTTTCTGCCTTTTTTTTTTTTTTGTCTTTCAATTTAGAATGAATATAGAATTTTGCATGAAGCATGTTCAGTGTGTGATTCAGTTTGAAAATTTAATATACTTCTAAGATGATTTATTCATTTGTTTCTCCTTTGTTTACAGAAGGGGAACAGTGGTGTTAGAACACAGGCAACTCTTGACAGTAAGTTTACAAAGCTTGGTTGTGCACAGGACTTTCTGAACTTTCCTTACTACTTGCTGTGCACACAACTGTAGCAGTGACATCTAGTTTAAGGTTTTACATTGTTCTTATTGGCTAATTTTTGGCTGACCCATTTGAGCTTTTGTACTTGCATAGGGTATACTGCTTGTTTCTTGACTAAAACTGAAGTATGAAAGCAGCCCTATTAAATCTACAAACCTAAGCAGTCTTAGATTTAGAGAAGCTGCTTTTTCTTTTGAATTTATCTACCAAAAATTAATATTAAAATAAAATCTAAAATTACTAATTAATACCAAATTTCTTAGCAATTCTTCCAATTATCATTTGGGAAGCTTTGAGTAGCATTTAGCTATAATGAAGCAAAATCACATTATCTGAATGCACCTCTGCTGGTGGCTCCTCACCTCACTGGTTAAAATGCTACTTATGCCCTGTTACAAGCCTGTAGGGTATAAGGGTGACTAACAATTATAGTATTCACTCTTCTGACTTTTATGTGCTGCTCTAGAAGTTTTCAAGGGCAGCAGTGTCAATTAACATCTTTTAGAATTCCAAAGCTTAGGTCTATCCTCCTCTTAAACATCTCTCCAGGGAAGTAGGGAAGTTATTAGTGGGGCAGCCTTTTTTTAATACTTCTGAGTACAAAGAAGTTGAGTATTCAGGCCTGTAAACAGTTTTTTCTTAGTGCCAAGTTCAATTTAAATTAGCAGGAGTGTATATGTCCAAGGAGTTACCACTTAAAAGATAGTTATATATAAATCCAACTTGTCGCCTGGAAAACTTTCTCACTCTCATCTACAGAATGAATAAGCAATTTATGACAGGAATTGTCTTTTTGCTATGGAAATAAAAAGAATTCTTAATATTTCTGTAATTATTCTATAATGGCTTTATTAGTCCCTTTTTCCATGCCAGTTCTCTTAAGAACACTTCTGAGTTTTTATGTATCTGAAGCACAAACTGGAATCATTCTTCTATGTATCTATTTCATGCATCTAAACTATTCTGAGATTTTCTTTTCTTATTAACATTTGAAAGTACTGACCTTTTCCCTTCTATATGTGCTGATAATATTCTTAGTTGTTTCTCTCTCATCTTTGCTGCTGTCCTGTAATACCCAGGTCTCATGTTTCCTAAACCCTTAGTTGAAAACATGGCTGGTGTATCATAATCTTCTGGTTTTCTTTGTCTTGCACATTGTGTTCAAGCCACTTGTAATGGGTCTTAAAGAAGATGGTGATTCTGTCCCTTGTACTGAAGACATCTACTTTTACTTCAGGAAGGGAACCCTGCTCTAAATGTCTTGAGAGTTGAAAATATTACTTATTTTTATATGTATTTTGTGAGGAGGTATCAGGTGATATAGTTGCCTTCTTCATAACTATATTTCTGTTTGTCACTTGAATTTCCTTGTTTGTTGTCAGTTACTCTCATAGTTGTTGCCAAGGTCAAGACCTCTTGATTTCTGTTTGCATAGCACCCAGTCCAGCAACTTGACTTGGATCACTTAGTGAGTGTCACGGTTTGGGGTCAGGGCCACCCCCAGACTGGTAATAGACACTCAGATAACCCCCTCCCCCCAACCCCAAAAGGGAGAGAGAAAAGAAATAAGGGAGAGAGACTTATTGATAAGAAAAGAGCTTTAATACTATTAATAATAGTAAAATGGAATGCATACAAATATATACAAAATCAGTATTGCACCCCCCTGATGGCAATATGTCACCATTACCCCCAGCTGGGGAGCAGCCCGTGGGGAGAAGTCCCAGGCTGGACTCGGCCACAGACAGTGACTGGGTACAGGAGCTAGATTCTGGAACTCAGTTCAGGAACACATGGCTCGGGATCAAAATCAGGATGGATGAAGTCCTTGGATGCTGGCCATTGCAGGAGCAGCAACAGTGAGGAAGAAGGTGGAAGGGGTTGCCCCTCCTGATCCTTCAGGTTTTATACTGAATACGATGGATATGGGATGGAATACCCCATTGGTGCATATTAGGTTGTCAGCTCCTCCCCGCAAATGTGGCTGGTACTTTCTGCCCCCCTCTGTGTGGTACACAAGCTTAGCAGTGACTTTGGTCTGCATACCAATCCCTGGCAGTAACTCTAAACATGGAGTGTTATCACTGCTAAAAGCAATCTGCAAAAATATGCTGCTAACTTCAGACAAGGCAGTTAGAAGAGTTTTAGCTAAAAAGTTAAATCCTTGAACAGAACCAGCTCTGTTCTACCCCAAACCAGAGCAGCAAGGAAAACAAATCAATCATGTGAACAAACTGTGATGCCTAACTTAAAAGCATATATCTGATTTCTGTTTGGTGACTGTGTGTTGTGGTTTATCCTCAGCCAGGAGTGAACCCCAGCAGCCGCTGTCCACTGCTCACCCCTACCATGTGTTCGGGGATGAGAATCGGGAGGAAGAGAAAACAAAAAGCCTGTGGGCTAAGGGCAGTGAAATAAAGTAACACAGGGAGAAAAGCAACAACAACAATAATAATAGCAGATAAATAATATATAAAGCAAGTGATAATAAACCCCTTACTTCAACACAGCAGCTCTTCCTACTTTGTCCTGTCCAGGAAGCTAACCCTCAAAAAAGCAAATGCTGCTCCACATAATGGGAGCACTCCCCATGCATTACACATCAAACTTATTCATCCACCCACGTGACCCATCAAGTGCACCCAGGTCCTTGAGCAAAAGCAATACCATGGATGGGTTTGCCTTTGCCAGAAGCAAGGCTGACCTAGACCATCTTCCTTAATATGTTCTTCATGTGCACTACAGGGACTTTATCCCCTTCTACAGTACGTGGGTGTTTTGATTGGGCAGGGCCAGCTTGATTGGCAGATATTCTTGTGTTGACTAACCAGGTTGGTTTTGCTAAATGTGCATCGCAGTGTTTGAAGGTGCCTCCCCCTGAATTGCTTTCAGTGTAGTTTTTTAGCAGTCCGTTGTACCTTTTGATCTTCCCAGAGGCTTGCGCGTGATAGGGGATGTGACAGATCCACTCGATGCTGTACTCCGTGGCCCAGGTGTCTATGAGGCTGTTTCGGAAGTGAGTCCCGTTGTCTGACTCTATTCTCTCTGGGGTGCTGTGTCACCATAAGACTTGCTTTTCAAGGCCCAGGACGGTGTTCCAGGCAGCCCCGTGTCGGGTCTTAGGCTCTACCACTGTGAGGACATAGCGCTTCCTGTGGTGGGTCTGTGGCAGTGTGATGTAGTCAATCTGCCAGGTCTCTCCACGTTTATATTTCAGCCATTGTCCTTCATACCACTGGGGCTTTGACCTCTTGGCTTGCTTGAAGGCAGCACATCTCACATTAGTGAATGACCTCTGCAATAGTGTCCATGGTCAAAACCATTCCTCAATCTCAATCCCATTTGTATGTTGCATCTCTTCCTTGATAACCTGAGGTGTCATGGGCCCACTGAGCTATGAATAATTCACCTTGACGTTGCCAGTCCAAATCCTTCTTAGCTACTTCAAATCTTAGCAGCCTGATCCACACACTTTGTTTCAATGTTCTTCTGTTTCCTGACTCTTGGGTACATGGGCATCCACATGACATACTTTCACAAACAGATTCTCCACCTGAGCAGCAATATCTTGTAGTAATTTCACAGCCCAGATTGGTTTACCTCTGTGCTGCCAATTGCTGTGTTTCCACTGCTGTAAGCACCCCCAGAGGACACTTGACACCATCCAGGAATCAGTGTAGAGATAGAACACCAGCTGCTTTTCTCACTTGGCAAT